GAGCTTAGAATTAATCAAACCCCTACATGTAATTTGCAAATAACTAAATTGCCTTCGGAGAAAGTAACCCAAAATTAGAGGGAAGGGAGCATGTTGCCTTATAAATACACGTAACGAAGTTTTGGGATTTTTTTTTTCTTCCAAGGACATTTTTTTACAATTGGCAGTAGTTTTTTTAATTCTCGGCGCTATTATCTTCAGTCTTTCTTCTGAAAAACAAATGCCACAGTTATATAAAGTAGATAATAAGTAAGACTGATGAAGCAACCTATTACAGCATGGTATAATGAAGGTTAACTGATTTGCACACCCAGTTGACCACATATGATGCTTTCTAAGCAAAAGACAACTTATTGTTAAATGAGTTATTGAGATTGCATCTTGTTAACCTGACTATTAGATAGTTGACTATATAATAGAAATTCGTCTGTTTCTAAAAGAGTTAAATCCAGGTGACCCATAACTGCGCCGACTCCATTAACTGACTGGCCAAACCCAATTGCCACCTTATGTCCTAGCTAATGAGGAACTCATAATGAACAAAAGGAACATTCAAGGTGCACTATTAAGTGACAACAAGTCTACATTGCCTTCACAAATATATCCATGCTGCTGTTTAGATTACAATGTAATCACTACAAACATTTGATGCTTTGGCAATGCCAATGCTTGTAAAGATGCATTATTAATTATGAAAAAATAAGGACTTCTAGAGACTATAATCTCACCGCATCAACTTGAATTGTTTTGTTATTGTGGACAGATGTACCAGAGACACGAAATAGTGCAATGCCGTCAGAAGTGTATGTATCATCATTCAGATTATTTTCAGCTATGTACTTTTTGTAACCAGAGCTAAGGCCACCCTGCAAATTAGAGAGGAATGTAACTAAACCTGATGCCAGTCAAATATCTTTCATCTGGATTTATCTTGGTGGAAGGACATATCAACAAAGAAATTTTGGAAAAGAAGCCAACAAAATTAAGAAATAATACCTTCAAGACAACCATGGGCTGGAAAAGTGCAATAAACTGTGGTGGCTCTTTTCCTTGCAAAATGCGACCCTGCAAAAAACCTGTGTCAAAAACCAAGCTCGTAGATTATACATCCCAGATTAAATTATGTAAACAAAAAATGAACAGGTACCAAAACAGGCCTTCCTTTCAGAGAGGTGCACATTGTATTAGCTAGCCGAGTAGCCATTATTTGATCATCCTGAAAAGAGAACCGACGACATTACAGGAATGGTACACTTGTAAAGTGCAAACTCCAGAATAATGCAATTAATATTAACATTCACAGGGTTTACTTTACAAGTATGGAGAACTATATGTGAATGGTTAAATATCCAGAATATGAACGATAAATTTTACAACATTGTAATTATCAAAAGCGCAGACAGATATCAGTAAACAGAATGCACATAAAAGTAATCAGTAGAGGAATGTCTCAATACAATGGTATAGTTCCAATGTGTTATAAACTTACAATCAACTCTATAAGGACAAAACAACCAGAAGGATAATAGAAATAGCATAAATAATATTAACAACTACTAAAATTGAAGTTTTTAGAACTGACAGAATATGAACGATAAAATTGAAGATTTTAGAACTGACAGATATAGCCAAAAGGAGCGTTTGGTTCCTCCCTCAGGTTATCCTAAAGCACTTTCCTATTTGTTTGTTTGGGTCCTGAAACCGCTTTCCTATTTTTTTGTTTGGGTCCTGAAAATTTTAAGGAAATCTCCCTCCCTCCCTCCCTCCCTCAGGTTATCCTAAAGCACTTTCCTATTTGTTTGTTTGGGTCCTGAAATCGCTTTCCTATTTTTTTGTTTGGGTACTGAAAATTTTAAGGAAATCAATTCCTAAAAACCCCTACAAAAACGTCATGATTTCAGTAAGAAATCGCTGGAAAGCTCACTTTATCGCAATAAACTAAGGGGCACGTGGGTGACTGAGCAAACTTTTTGCCTACCCATCTCTTTCTCTCTGTTCTTTTCCTAAAACTTTGGATTCTTATTATTAGTTTTCAACCAAATTATGGATCACAAGGAAACCACTTCCCTCCACCCCTTGATTTAAGGGCGAAACAATTTAAAAAAGGCATTTCTGGGAAAGATTTGAAAAATGGGTTCTAGGCAAAAAACCGGTTTCCTTTATTAGTTGGAAAGTAACCACACCGCCCTAAAAGAATATTCTAACTTTACCTTCCCTTTTCTTCTCAACCATAATCCATAAATAGTCCTATTTCTTTATCCTAGGAAAATCCAAATGAAATTTTGAAACATTTTCTACATTCCCACTTTAAATTAAGAAAATAAATAAAATAAACAAACAACTTCAAAGTTCAAGATAAATTCACAACTATTTCTAGAAGTATGTGTTATATAAGTGAGAATGGTATTCATTTCTAAAGACAGAAAAAACAAATTCAGGAATGGTATTCACAATGACGACTGAATATGTTCAGATTTGATTAGATTTCTTAATTTTTCAATAGAAGTAGATATATAAAGCTATATAGATATATGGTTTCCTAGTTTTAAAAAAGCAAAAAAGAAGTTGTATTGACTTTGGGAGGTTCTCAAAAATATAGCATTCGTATGAATCATTTCACATGATGAAATTAATTTTTAGCCATTCATCTAGTTCTCTAAGAATCTTCTTTGGCATAATATTTTAAGTGGATGGTTTTACTTTATTAGAATCTTACTAAACTAACTTGATGCTACAGGGGGTCTATTCGAAATTGGGTTATACTACAGGGGGTCTATTCGCAATTAACCCAATTTTTAAACTCAAGAGTTTCCATTAGTGAAAAACATAAAGTTAGACAACTAAGAAAATTCAGTTCTAAGGACAGGAGTGCAAAGAGATTACAACTTATCTGGCTTTTAAGAACCCTGTTAAGCATTGCTCAATAAAAAACAATTACTGAATAAGTTTCACTATCTATTGAATACGTGAGCTTTGGTAGGTTCTAATCGGAAAGGACCAAAGTAGTTACAATGACAAAGAATCCAGAGAAAATAATAATTAAAAAAAATTCATAAATTACGCAAAAATTAGCTGAGCATACATGCAAGATCAAGAGCCGGAACAATACTAATCTAACAACAGTTGCATGTCTCTACAAGTTCATGTAAGTTCATAATTGACATACTTTCTGTAAGTTCATGTAAGTTCATAATTGACATATTTTTAACTATGATCCACCAAATGACACTATTGCTGTATCATGGTGAAATGCATACCACCTATCAACGTGTTTCACATCCAGATTCAAATTGGAGAAAGAATATACATCAAAACATGGAATACGTCTAGATTAACATTTCTATGCATTAGACATGTATATCCATCATTACTACTCATGTGGACACATGTTCCTGACAGGCTGACACTGTTAAGACATTGGTCTTTACTTTTTTTTTTCAATCCCACAAATATTAATGAGTAAAATTTGAGAAGTTCCAACAAACAAGACTCATTGGAAAACAAAAGCAGACTCCTAACTCTATGTCCGCACACAATATGAAGTGTCTACTTGTCTAAAACATTTAAGCTTACATCTTCTGCAGCATTTACCTGGATACTATCCTTCCCCATCCAACAGGATAAGAAGTAATCATCTTTCCTGTCACCCGAAGGATATGTATAAAGAACAATATAACAATCTCCACTGTAGAATTTGCCAATATCTTCCGGAAGAACTGGACTTTTGGCGCTTCCATTAATGCGCCAGACCTAAAAGATATGTGGAAGTCAGTTCTATAGGGAAAGTAACTGGAAAACATATGCAAAAACAATATAATCAGACTTGGTACGCATTTAATATGCAGATGGTAAGAGATCTAATCAGACCTCAAGCTTTCCACCTCCTTCAAGCAAAGGAGGAACTTCCTCATTAGCAGGAGCACTTTTTGTAGTTCCCTTTAGATCAACCCCTTGCTGCTTCAATAAAGCTACGAAACACAATATTGAAGTTATGCTAACTGCCAAAACACATAAGGGAAGATCATGATTATGTAAAAGACAAAAATACCTGCTACTTTCCCTCTTCCCTCATCTCCACCGTTTGTCGCTGTTCCAGAACTTGCAGGCCAAGATTCAAAGTTGGATTTGAATGAATGTGTCTCAAATCCTTGAATAACTCGAGTAATGCGGGTAGTCTTTGGTCTATTCTCATTAGCAATAAGATCCTGAAGGACGATATAAATAAAAATTATGCCCAATTGACAAGCATTATCAAAATTGATATTTCCTCTCTACCTCAGCAGTTTTGCATGCGGATTTTCTGTCATCAACTTGGGTTATCCGACCAACCCAAACAAAAATTTCAGCTCCACAATCCAATAAATAGCATTTACTATTTTCCAGCATAGCTTTAGTCAACGGGCCATCTTCCAACTTCAACTCACCTTCGTTGATACTGTAAAGAAAAAGGTATGCTTAATGATTCAGCAACTTATTTCAAATCCATAAATATATGAAGAGGTGATGTCTAGATAAGGACAAGACATAATGAATCACACTACTGTTGCTTCCCTCATTGTTTACAGGTTAAACACTATTTCTTTCCTCTATCTAATGCTCTGTTGTGTCGTCCTCAGCACTTTAGCATTCTGATCAACATAAATAATAGATCTGTATTGCCAGATTAATGCTACACTACCGCATATTAATAGGAAAAAAAGGCAGTTCTTTCTTTCTTTTGGGAGTATCAAACAGCAGAAGTGCAGGCCAGTAATAGAATTTCATTAAGACAGCATTACGACATATGGTAAAAGAAAGGGGTCATAGCACATCTTTTCATCAAGGGGAAAAGAACAAAAATAAGCCTAGTTTCAGAGTAACCTACTTATCAGAAGTTATAGTGATGATTACAGTGCAACTTTATATGCATTTCATTACATATTCCGACCTCCTCTTAACAATAATGACAAGTTGATTTCAGACGCAAAGAAACATATGGGATGACAAGTAAGATGACTACACAAAGAATAAAGAAGCCCATAGTTTCTCTCTTAAACAAACATATGGCATTTACTAAGAGTGCCACATCTAGAAAAACTTCCTTAAAAGCTCATTTTGAAAATCGGTTTTGCGGTTATGTATTAAAACCAGTAACAACAAGCCATATCTGGATGTGCAGGGAATTAACAATGCCAGAAGATAATGTTCCAATGGATAATTCACATACAAAAAAAGAACACGAGAAAAGGCCAGTGTCTTTTTGCATGTCTGTCATAACAGATTTATGCATATCAGGATGCAAACTAATGCATGCATTCTCACTAGATAGCTTAATAAATTACCTATAAAGCTTTGCTGGAGTAGCCTCCAATGGGATGTCATCTTCAGAAACAGTCTTTCTACCAATTGGTGCAAAGCCACCAAAAAGGACCCAAAATTCCCCTGAGCCAGACTCTGCCTCAAGCTTTCCATCATCTAACATTTCACAAAAGAAAATTATTTTTCGAAAAGAAAACATCGCAGGCATATGTATAAGTAGCTATAGATTAAAGTATGCTCACCAATAATTGCAACATCACATGTCCCATCATGGTACTTATCTTTCAAATATTGTACAACTTCTAAAGCTTTGGCTCTTTCTTGGATATTGGAGTTGGAACCATTGAATTGATATATCTTATTTTCAGTGTCCAAGATAAAAACATCATCGTGATTAAGAGAAGAGCGAGCAAAAGGAACCTGCACAAACCAATAATGTGATACCATTACACTGTGTAGGAAATAAATCACAAGCCATAGATCTTCTATACCCAGGACCAGGAGGCATTGCCCCACAATGTTTCCCATAACAGAAGCAGACTACTGCCTCCAAAAAAAGACAATTTTAAATATTTTACATCCTGAAGAGATAAAAGGAATTCCTGGTACCTGTTTCAATCTAACTACTCGCTTTCCCTTGCAAGTATACAGGCGGGTTTCAAATGTTTCCTCTTCAGGCTTCTTGAATCCAGAAGCAACACCACCTTCTAAAGGGATGATGCATGGTTTGAAGTAAGACAAGAACTTGTCAGATTCATGACTTCAGTCTTGATGGCAGCAGCACCAGCTTCATCCTAAAATGTTCATAAAATGAAACAATGTCAGCCTGGCCCTTTCTTTTACAGTCGATGACGAGTCAAAGAAATACAGCAAGTCAAAGAAACATACTTGGCTAGTCTCTTTTCCCAGCCAGAAATGAATGTCATAGAGGTACGCACCTCCCCTACCAGCACTTGTCTAAAAGAAATAAATAATAAAGTACAAAGTACATCAAAAACACAGGAAGCAACTTTATATCTTCCAAGAGCATCAGATCACTACTGAAGACACTACAAGGCAACTCACCAGACGGGAATGAGCATATAGGTGTCTATAATACTAGAGCATCATGCTTACAGACAGTGCCCACAAGCGTAAAGATTTTTTTTTTCCTTTCCATTTCGAAATGCATTTTTTGCCTTAAATTGTTAACATCGACCATGCAAATGAAAAGAATAATAGAGAGCTGTAAGGGCCTAGAATGCATGTCCTTGATCTTTAATCTCTAAGAAAATAGTATAAAAATTCTATGAAGTGGCTGGAAATGAAATCAAACTTTTGTGGAAGCTATAATGCAAAATCAATGTTATAGATAAAATTTATTACAGGTTTTACTTTTAGAAAGAGTAAAGTCTAAAATGACCATACCACAAAAATGTCAGATGCATAGTGCAGAGCTAGTCAGAAAATAGAGAGTACTGTAATCAAGCGTCAGAAGTAGAATAGTAACAATTTACATAAAACATAAAGAAATATACTATTGTTCATGAACTAAATCGATTATGGAAGGAGTTGACACTAAATAGTTATTCTTAATGCAACAGTTGAACCATGCACTCTAAGTAAATATTATAAACTTACTCTGTCAAACAAGAAAGAAGGATAAAACTAATGTTGCTGAAAGAAGCATAAAACTAATGTTGCTGGCTCTTTTCATATTTGAAAGGGTCGATATTTAGATGAATTACCTCCAGAGGAAATGAGGTATTTTTACAGTCAATCAAAATAGATTTAATAGCCTAAATTTATGTAGAGTTGCATTATGTATTGCAGAAAACAAAATTGACCATGTGACTGCAATGTAAACTGAAATGATATTTTTACCTGTAAAACAATGTAAGAATCCCCTGAATAGAATTTACCATAATCAGCTTTTGGTAACGCAACTGGTTGAAAATTCTCAATGCGCCAAATCTCCAACCCACTACGAAAAGTTAAGTAATTCAAGAAATATTTACCAGCTTAACCAGTTTCAACAGAAAGCACAGAGAAGGTTTCACCATTCAAAGTCATGGCAATAAGAAAATTTTAAGCGGACATGACATGAAGAACAGAAAGATGAGTTGTATTTTCAATGTGTATAAAGAGGATACACTCTTTGACCAGCTCCCTGAAAAGCAGGCTCCAGATTTTTTGCGGTGTTAGCCATTTTCCAATAGCTTACCTTGTCGTCTTTTTCCCTTTACCTCAGCTATAGATCTTTGCAGGTACTAAGGTCATACCTGCGGTCATAACATAAAGAAACAAATGAAGAACAAGTACAGTATCGTCTACTCCTGCAACTTGATAAGGATAATTTGACTAGACACACCAACATATAACAAAGATTTCGCATCATTGACAGGATAAAAATACACTGGACTGACATGAATTTTAGAGCAACTAGCTTTATTTCTGGCAGGACAATTGTGGCTATTTAAACTACTATACAAATTATGCGCAAATATATGTTACCACATGTTCACGCATACTGCACTTGAAGAGTAAGGAATATTAAATAGAACAACCAAGAATTACTAAAGAAACTATCATGGCAGAATAGCATGTGCTGTCCAGATTAGACATGAGAAGCTCCTTAAAGGAATACAGGCAATGGTTTGAACCTTCAGGAATCATCATGTGTGCTTACATATCAGTTGCATGGGTGATATGTTAGCAAGAAAACAAATAAAACAAGAGTAAACCAGAAGAATGATAACTGTCTAATCATTAGAAGCTTAAAACTACTATGACCCAAAAAATAACCTTACAAAAATGGGAAAATATCAGGTCTTAACGAAGCTGGCTTTCAATTCTTCCTAAAGCAACAACCACAAGTTGGTATCAAATGAAAGACAATATAATTTATACTGGACTTGGATTAGTAGAAGGCACAAATACAGTATTAGATCTTGAGAATAATGATGATGGGTGAAACAGAGCAATCAGAAATACAGCAGAACATGATAAGTATGGCCCTTTGGAGGGTATTATTAATGATAATGAACTTTTTAAGGAATCTCCAATTAGTTTTGACGTTTTCACCATATTATGCTCAAAATGTAGCCTTTACCAGTTTTTCCTATTCCTATGACCCTCGCTGCTCATCTTGTCGAGCTCTTCTCTCCATGAGTTATATTGCAAGATTCTACTGATGAGCTGATACCATTTAACTAACTTACAATGTAGATGGTTCTCCTAGAGTGTCTAGTTCTTTTCTGGGAGAGAGTACTTTAATTAAAAATTTTGTTGCAATAAAGTTTGCCTAGTCAGGAACGACCAGGTAGCTACAGAGTGTAAGAAAAGCTCAGACTTATAGGGGACATAAAATCTGAATCTGATTTAAGATTAATTTCAAAATTAAATGCTTTAAATTTTAGTATAACATAATGCAATGAATATTTAAGTCAAATAGAATACTAATATTGGTTAAAAAGAACATCAATAAGTATCTAAAAAATTCAAGGCAATAACTTGTAAGACTTAACATCCAGGAAAAAAACACAATTTCTTTTCTGATTATTGAAATCAGATTGTTGTTTAAATTTTCAACCATACAAACACTACAAAAGGTTCACAATTCAACATGGACTAAGAAATCTTCCTCTTGAGAAGAATTTCTCCTTTTCTGTTGGTGGGAAGACCTCAGTAATATATAGCAATAATTAACATGATCTGTTACCTAGTGTGTGGCATTGTCATCACCACTGTAACTTCCATATTAGAGACCTTTTTGGAGAAAGGCTACTGTTGCATACACCAATTTATCGGTTAGCAACAAAAGCCACCAATTATAACCCGTCTATAATCGTACTCATCACTTAAATCCCATGCATTATTACCAAATTCGTGGTATGGTTTGGTTCATGATATTGATACAGGTACAGCGTATAATGTGGGGACAACAATAAGCAAAAAGAGTGTATGCTTAGTGCATTAGCCAAGGTTATCATACACTCAAGAGCATTTGTTCAGGTCATTCTGATAAATCGTTATGTATTGTAATTGTGCATCTATAGATAGGTAGCTATGCATTTTACAACATGTAGATATAGATTGGATTGCATGATCAGAACTTGAATAATGATAGTATCTAGCACCTTGAGGACAACGTCTATCTCACTAGTAGGTTATGGAAGTCAGGAGACCAAGCTACAGCCTTTTTCAGACAAAAAACAAAGTTTGCATCTTTAATATATATAAAGCCTTTACTCTTTACTTGTTCCAAACTCATGCAAGGGAGCTATTTACTAAAAATAATAATGATGATAATTCTAAGTAAATTAGATAATCAAATACAGAACCAAAAACTTTAAGCTAATAAACCCTTAAACATCTTATAAGAGAAAAACTAAATCCTTCAAGCAAAACGCATGTGACATAGCTTAATGAATTAATTTATTATTTGATCCTCTAACTTACCCTATCTGGTTTTGACGAACCCAATCATGAGGGCAAAACGAACGTAATCATCCGATATTACAACGGACAGCATGGCTTCAATAAAAGCGGCTCTCACACGCCCTTGTGCCTCTGCTTTCTCCCCCTTTCCTTAAAGGGTTCATAGAAAAGCGAGAGAAAAGCGCAGTTCAGCTCATCACGCCCTAGTAAGTAGGAATTTCTGTATGGAAAAGCTAGAACTTAATTAGACCTATATCGCAGTTCTCTAATTACCCTCTGGATAGTCAATTTTCTTTCAGAAAATCGCCTTCTAACAAAGAATAATCCCCTGACAAAGTGTCTACGACATAAACTTTATGTCAAAAGCTGAAATTTTGTCCTCTAACAGTAAATTCAACGCAATCAACCTCAATCCAAAGAAGTTAAGAGACAATTCGTACAAAGATAACAGAATAAAACAATTGATCTAAGCGACATGCACAACTTCAGATATAAACTCCGATCACACAAAGATCCTCAAAGAAAGATTCGATCTACGTAATGAAAAGATAGGGGAGACTCATACCTCTCTGCAGAATCCAGGAAAACCCTAAAATCGCCAAGTTGGAGAGCAGATTCCAACGCAGATGGCAGATACCAGAGATCTAAGCCCCGAGAAACTATTGGGATCCAAATTAAGACCAGATTTGATTAGGATCTGAAGAACCGAGAGAATTTGATTGGCGTAATTTTACAGAGAAAGAGGATTAGGGATCGAAAAGGATCCCAAAAAAGGGAAGACGAATGGAGAAAAGAGAGGGGAGAGATGGCGAAAAGAGCGGATGCAGAGACTTATGATTGTCGGGAAAATTGCACATGAGGGGGGTGCGAATGATCGGATATTTTTAGAAATGCCCCTGAAGAATTGTTTGTCGGGGATCTAGGACAGATTTGGGGCTTGATGTGTATTTCCTATATTTTTAAGCGGGAACGTGGTTGCCATGATTATGGAAATTTTAGAATTAAAAAGATTGCACTGGCCAACAAAAAGAATTAAGTAGAGCGTACGGAGAATGTAATAAGTACATAGATCACTATATTTGCAAATCTATCCTTCAAATGTAAATATGTGCTCATTTACACTCGTTATACTACATTGAGTAAAATACCCTAAAAGTTAATGTTGAGAAATATTTTTTGCTAATATTTAGCCGAAATTTCCTTCTTCTAACGTCCAAAAGTTAATGGTATTTAGGTTGGAGGTTGTAAGCGTCAAAAATTGCCCACGGATTCCCGCATGCGGCTTGAGACAGAGAGAAGACGATGAACGTCGATATCCGAGTCATAGAAGCTCATTTGACGACGACAAGTGCATGAAGTGAGTCAACGAACCATGCAAAGCAACGGAACTTCGGAATAACGGAAACACGAATGGATCGGGAGCTACACGTCGCTTACGAAAGACGAAGCGCCCCTCGTGTCTCGTTTACTCCACATATGATTCAATCATAGAAGCTCGTAGATCTTCTCATCGGCTTTCTGACGCATTTTGAATCGCGTGATTCCGAGTTCGGATGACGAAGATACGGCGAAAACGGACAGAACGCGTGATTCCAAAGCTTGGCCGAGACACCCACGGGTGTCCGCGGCCCCGAAAATAGTTTTTTGGCAGATTTAAGCTGTTTTTCGGCCGTTAACCGCCTGGATTTGTTCCAACTGATAAAATATCATCCAAGAACGTGGTTAGTGGTTATAACTGAAGATAAGAGTGAATCGGTCATTCTTATCCAAAAACAGGGTTTCTGAAGCCTATAAATACAGCCTCAGGGCCTTCATTTTTCTAGATCTGGAATTCTCGAGCGTTGGCGAATCTCTGCTGAACTGAAGACTGAAGGAGCACGAATTTCAGAAGAGAGGAGGAGATCAGATTGAGTTCGTCAGCATAAAGAAGAGGAGCTCGTCAGATCCATAGTTCATGATTCCTTCCCTTGAGATTGCCCCGTTGCGGTGATCTCGAGAAGAGTGATTATCTCGCTATTACTGAGATAATTGCTTCGGTTTCTTGATTCCTTCACGAATCAATGAAGCTCCGGACCTGATCTGATTGTTTGGTAGTCCACGGATATCAACATCCTCGTCACAAGCCAAGATTCCACGCAAACAGCTGAGGATAAACGTCCGTTGCATTTGTTTTGACGAGAGTTGTATTTTTTCGTTTTTATTGTGTAAGAGTCTTATAAAAGACTATATTTTTTTGTTTTCATTGTAACGACTGAAGTTGTAATGAATACATCAATGAAGACATTAATTTTTTTTCCCAAACAAACTGGCGACCACAGTGGGAGCTAACAGCCTAACTGCCAAGGCTGTCGTGCCGCAGCCAACGATCACGATCCCGGTAAACGAAGAGGTCGAATACGAATTCGACCAGCAGAAGTTCGAGGAGTACGTCTCCTCCTCCTCCTCCAGATCCGCCTCTCTTCGCAAGTACAGGAAGGCCTCCTCCTCCCGAAAGATCCGATGGTCTTCAGATTTGAATACCTAAGAAGGCGATTTCCCTGCTACCGCTGCCGTAGTTGCACCTCGCAACGATCCGTCGGCATCTGATGAAGCCAAAGCCGCAGATCCGGACACCTTATCAAAGAGGGCTCATCAAAGGCGCCGCCAACGTCTCGCCCACCAATTGGCTAAGCCTTTAGAGCAAGTGGACGGGCTTTGCTACCAAGCGAATCTAGAATTCAAAAAGCGCCAAGTGGCTAAGCCGTCGCCACAACAAGCATCGCGGTCCTCCTCCCAACTATCAACTAACAAATGGGTTCATGTCAAACGAATTTGTTCTACTCTCGAGGAGCATATCCAGAAATGTCGCGCACTACTTGCGCATGCACGGATTCTCGTACAAGAAGCACAGAAATTGCAGCAGGAGGAGGTGGTCAAGAAACTACCAAGATCTAAGCAGGTTTGGGTGCTGAAGGCTAAAATAGCACATCTACCCGACAAGAGACACCAGTCATGTCTCTCGCTCGATTCTAGATCCGAGGATGTTCCCCAGCTTTCGTCAACTTCAGATCCCGCTCCTATTGCTCCCGCACCTCCGGTGAAGCCCTACGATAGCGTGGATCTCTCCAAATACAGAATTGCATTGAAGGATCGCATGAGTCCTCTACATGAAGATCGAAATAGATTTGTGGTCAAAGAACGATTGGGCATGGTGAATGAACCCCCATCAACTCATCGAGCTGGGGGTCATACTCGCCCAACAAGTCTGAAGCCTTCTCGTAAGGAGAAAACTCCTATAACTGACCACCTCGGACTACATGTCGAAGTCCAAGATCCCATTGAGGTCCCACGCTCACAAAGACGTAGCTCAAAACGTGTGACTCTTAAGAGTGCCAACAAGGTGATGAATCCTCAGAAGGAAATGTGTTCGTCAGACAACGACGTTATACCTGAGAAGTCATGCTAACACATGATAGATTGCTCCGGTCATTATGCCGATGAGTTATACTATCAGGCTGGGGGTACAAACAGATCTCGAAAGAGAGATACCAGGGAGATGGACTTTCATTGTCCGTGCGTCAAACTCATCAGGAAAGTATTATCAACGTGTAGTTGCCCCAAGACTGCTCTACAGAAGGTCTCGGTATTCCAAAGGCTTTCCTCTGAAGCGTCGAAAACTAAGCCAAGGTGTTTTCGTAGAAAAAGATTAGCTGCACAAGATGACAAACTCCCAGAAGTCACTATCAATATGGTCGATAAAGGGAAGTCAACATGAAGTTTTAGTCCCCGTCATTTTTCGGACGTACCCCAACATATAACTCGGTTACGCACAGGAACTACTAGACGTATGGACTATCAGAGGATGAATAGAGGATTATCCTCAGAAGATGAAACATTAGATGCCAACTTTACAGTCGCTTCTGACAAAATGGTATCCAGTCCAAGACAATCCCGTAAAGTGTTTATAGTTAACATCGGGGAAGTAGCCAAAATGGTTGAGGATGCTCTAGACAAGCAGAAAGAAGCATTCAAAATCGAAGTAAAAATGGCTATGCACGAGACGAGACAAATGCACGACCAACAAATCCGAGCTTTGTCGAATCAGCTAGGTGAATTCAATCGTCACAACAATGTTAGCCAAGCAGCTAGCGATTCAAACATGGATGAATACATCAATGCTGATGACCTTCCTATTGATCAAAATGCTGGAGGTAGCCCCACTGAGAATAACAACACCGGGGGTGGTCCCACCAATGATGACAACATTGGGGGTGGCCCTATTGTTCCTCCTCAAAATCGACCAAGGAAGGATACGAGCGAGGATGAAAAGATAAAAGACCTCAAGAGCAAAATCAACGCTCTGATGTCTGCTCGAGAGGTGAAGAAGACCGGCATTTCGTGTCCCTATCCGAGAGAGTGGGAGTCAATCCCATACCCGGCAAAGTTCAACCTGATCAACTTCACGCTGTTCAACGGGAAGGGCTCACCCACTCAACATTTAATCTACTTTAAGTCTTACTTGGGCATGATCTCCGACAATGAAGCCTTGATGGTTCGGTTATTCGTTAGCATCCTTCGCAGGCCCATCTTTGATTGGTACCGTCGTCTCAAGCCTGGAAGCATTAACAGCTGGGACGACCTGAAGAACCTATTCCTCGCTCACTTCTTTGATAATGATACTGAGGTGTCAATCAGGACACTCTTCGATGAGAGACAGGAAGACGACGAGACGGTCGACGACTTCGTCAAGTGCTTTCGGAATAAGACGATGAACTGCCGAGATCCGATCACAGAGGACTTCATCCTCCAAATATGCCACAACAACCTCTCTTTGTACGTGTTGGAAGTTATGGGAATAGCACCGTCCAATACCTGGAAAGAGTTAAAAGTGCGCGGAGAGCAGGCCGAGCACTTCCTCAGAAGGAAGAAAGTCGAGAGAAGCCAACCGACGGCTAACCCTCCAAATTCAAGCTTCTTCTCCTGTGGTAAAGGGAAGGCCCCTGCAGCTGCTGTTGATGCTAATCAGACGTCACAACAGTAATCCCGGGGACATCAAAAGACTTCAGGTCCGAGACTTCAAAAAGAGTACTCCTTCATGGACGAAGACGTTCTAGCTATTTTCGAATCCCTCCTTGAGAACAACAAGATCACGTAAATCAGGAGGAAGCTGATAATACTGCGGATCTAAAGTACTGTACGTATCACAGGAGGATCATTCATCCTACCAAGGCTTGCTTCGCTCTCAAGAATAGCATCCAAACCCTGGTTAAAGCTGACGTCATAACGCCAAATTAAGCCGAATCAAGACTCCGACAAGTATAAGAGTATAAACTGCTCCTTCCGAGACTCCGACAAATATAAGAGTATAAACTACTCCTTCCGAGACTCCGACAATTATAAGAGTATAAACTAATCCTTCCGACACTTCGAAGAGTATACGAGTATAAACTGCTTCTCAATATTCCAATAAATATACGAATCTAAATTATTTCCTAATTTTAACGAGAAGTTCCTAGAAGAATATCGTATGTGATATTCTTAAGGATAACCCGATCATTCAGCTGAGTACAATGTTAGACCCAGTTTCACAAAGAAAGCTAGGGGAGGATGTAACGGGAAGTTCCCGAAAGAATGCTATATGTTATGTTCTTAGGGATAACCCGGTCGCTACAAAAATAGGATGAATAAGAAACTCTCACTTGGACTCTAAATGCTGGGTGCAATTCCACCAGCTTCCGAGCACTCTTTTGCTGAGACGAGAGTTGATCACATCGTTGGATCAATCTTCCCTTATAAAAAAAACTCCCAATTGTGTTGACGATTTATAGTTCTCCACCACAAAGTCCCTCACTGATCAA